AATGCCGTACAGCTCCAGCTCCCAAGCCACCTTGGACACTGGAAGCAGGCTGACAGCGAGCAGGGAAATTTTGGGCAATCTATATGAGATCTTTGAATGGTTTGGGTTGGAAGGGACCTTCAGAGATCACCTTGTCCAACCCGAGGTGAACAGCAAGTTCTCGGGGGTATCTGCGCTGGCGTGTAGCTGCGGGGTGGACACCCAGCTGCTGCATCCAGCTCCCAAGCCACCTTGGACACTGGAAGCAGGCTGACAGCGAGCAGGGAAATTTTGGGCAATCTATATGAGATCTTTGAATGGTTTGGGTTGGAAGGGACCTTCAGAGATCACCTTGTCCAACCCGAGGTGAACAGCAAGTTCTCGGGGGTATCTGCGCTGGCGTGTAGCTGCGGGGTGGACACCCAGCTGCTGCACCACCTGGGTGTAGGCACATGGGGGGCTTAGAGGGGCGTACGGATAGCTTGGAGCAGTCCGTAGTGCAGGAGTAGCACTGCTTCAGCCCGTATTCCTACAGAACAGCTAAATGAATTCCCTCACAGCTTTCAGTAGTTGCATTCCATAGTCCTTGGCTTGGAGTGGTACTGAACAGATGCCGCTGACACTGGGTTTACTTTCAAAGAAGCCCAAACTATTTACTGTGCAACGTGGGAAAAGGTTTCTTCAGCACCTTCCGTTCTCCAGAGCCTTTTGCCCAGGACTGACATTGGCTGGAGAAACATCAGGCATTTCAACGATCACCTTATAGCACCCCAAATATTATGCCCTTTGGGGAAGGAACCTTCCGCACCCAATACTTGACTGGGAGGTGGAAGTCCTGCCTCCACAGGGTCAGGCTACCCTTAGCTGAATCGATCAGCTTTGGCATTGTTTGAATGAAACAAAAATGCTCCTTCGAAATACTCTGGGGGGAGTGTTCCTCCTTGGCAAACTGGGAGGTGTGGGAACACAGTCTGCTTCCTTTCCTGCACAAATACACTTTGTAGAAGTTAAGTATCATCGCCCTTCTGTGCTAAACCCCAACATAAATGCAAAACATCACTGCAATTGCCATGTACAGTAAATCACATCCCCCTAATCTGCATTAGTCATGTTCCAAAAATACCGCTGGATACGGCTCGGGGAGACAGCCTAACTTGTTTTATCTTGGACTGGAGCGTTTCTAAGCGAACGCAGTGGTGTAACTTCAAAAACCTGCTGAATTGGTGTAAGGGTCAGCACGTGAGACTGGGACAAGTTGTATTGCTCCTCGCTGAAAGCAGACACATTTCTAATTCTGGGGGTAGCATATTCCTGTGTGATCTACTCTAGGGGATCCTGCTCTGGCATGGGGGTTGGACTAGATGATCTCGAGGTCCCTTCCAACCCCTTCCACTCTGTGAATACAGGGAGAAGAAAAAACCGTTCACTTCCTCAAAACCATGCAATACCATTTCTGAAGGGCATTGTTCCCAGAGCGGAGCTCGGTCTCACTGTACCTGTCACAGAAGTTGGAAGGGTGTTTGACTTCTTCAGCTGTTCCCTTCTTTCTAGTCTTGACACAGCACTTTCTATTTTCTTCTCCCCTTCTTGAGTTGTGGATTTCTGCAGTGTGCTTGTTTTGCTGCTGCTGCTGCTTTTATTGTCTGACTGATGGCTGACGGCGGCCTGGAACAGAGAAGGAAAACTGCTAAATGCGTAGCCGCCTGTCAAGCGAGAGGTGTCACGTTTGATACCTTCATTCATCACCTGTCCTTTCCTTAACCATCCTTTTTGGCAGTGGGTCAAAACACTCTCAGAACTTCTAAAACTAACAGTTATTAGAGGCTGTAAAAAAAACCACCCACAAAGTTAAAAATTGTCTTGTCATTCCACTCAAAAAATGAACAGTTTGAGCCAGCCCTACCTGTTCAGTGCAGCACTGAAACAGCGTGTCGCTGTGAGCAACCTCACACCCACTGCTCTTTACTTCCACCGGTTACCTACGTCTTAATTGTGCTGGTGTCTGCCAGAAAGGTGCGTCTCGTAACCACCATCAAAATACACTCAGTTATCTGCCCAATCTCCCTTCCTACCACCTGTGGTACCTATATACGACATCAGTCTGTGTAACATCACTCCTGTGCGGTAAGCAGAAGTGTTTCTCTTACTATTAATACGAATTAATGGCCAGGGAAGCTGTGGATGCCCCATCCCTGTAAGTGTTCAAGGCCAGGCTGGATGAGGCTTGGAGCAACCTGGTCTAGTGGAAGGTGTCCCTGCCCATAGCAGGGGGGTTGGAACTGGATGGTCTTTAAGGTCCTTTCCAACCCAAACCGTTCTGTGATTCTATGATAACAGAAAGCCATAGATAATGAATAGCTATGCAGAGACCAGGAAAGAAGAGATACTTGAATTCTGTGCCTACTTCAGGCATTTGGGTGTTTCACATGGTAGTTTGTCTCTTTCATTTTTCAGTGTTTTATCCAAATAATACATGTTACAATAAAAATATAAATTCAAACTTACTAATATTCACCTATATTCATCTCTAAATGCCTACACCAGCTGTTATTCCCCAAGCATTAAGGCTTAACACCTCGTTTACTCAAGCTTTGAAAGAACCGTGTTGCGCAGTTTCTCTGTTCCATCGCGGTGGTCCACCTCGTGAGGGCCGTTAACTGCCACCTGATATTAAGGCATCAGAGCTGGCACTAAAATTGTCACACCGTTGGGGTTTTTTTTTTTTCTCCTGGAGGTCTCAGTTTTGCAAAAGCAACTCCAGACTTTCAGACTGCTTTTTTTACTCACTGTCATTTGAGCGTTTATGAAATCTTACAAGCCAAGCGTTAAAAGAAACCCCTTTCCACATAATAGAACTAGCTAATGTTATAATTATGGTATCAGTATTTCTAATGGGCAGGTTTCTAAAGACTGTTTACGTTTTCTTTAGCCAGCTTCTCCGCTTGCTTTGCCTCTCTGGCTTGTCTCCTCTCTTCCCTCGTAGCTTGCTGCTCACGGAATCCCTTCTGCTTTTGCAGCGCTAACGTAATCCAAAGTGGTTGTGAAGTTTCAACTTTTTCCATCAATTTAGAGCCATCTAAAGAGTGCCTGCTCTGGAGGACTGGCTTTTCTGAAAGAAAACATGAAGAGAATGGGTTAAGTGCTGCACATTTGTCTCAAGCAAAGCCGTACAACTTCTCTACCTTGGGGAAACCCTGGAGCTGAGCCTGTGGAATGCCACGCCATTCACCGACCTTCGGGGACTGTATGTCGAAGAACTACTGCAACACACTCAAAATTCATCCCTTTTTTGTGAAAAAAGCCTACCCCAGGCGCTTAAACTTCCAGCCTAATTCACTGCAAATACTCGCACCGTGTGCCACATCCAAGTGCGACGTTTTCTGTTTATAACTGACAAAAGGCACCCAGGCACTGCCTGCTGCAGATCCCTGCTTTTCCAGCTGTAGTGAAGGGAAGAAGAGGGTCCACACTTTGGCCAAAAGAAGGGGGCTGAAATTATGTCCACCTGAAAGTGCAGCCCCTGTTAAAAAAAATGTTGGTGGGGTTGTTTTAATTTTTAAATCACCACTTGGGCGTTTGAATTTCTGTCCCCGGCGTGGAACTGGGGCCAGCAGCCGGTACAGAGCTGTGGGCGGCGGGGAGCAGCACGTAGGGGGCAAAGGAGCTCAGTGAGCGCAGAAACCCTCAAATTGTAAAAATAAGCAGCGATTACGCTGAGGTGGGGTTGTAGAAGTGCCTTGATGCTTGCAAAATTCAAGAAAATTGGGATTTCCCAAGACAATTGGAATTTCCCAAGAAAACGCTGAACTCCTGCCTCGCTATTTTGAGTGTCCTCACGCTGAAAGGGTAGTTTTTACTCTTCTACAGAATACTATCTCAGGACACAGGGGCTTTCAGCCTTCCTCTGAAGAGCCACTGTGGCTAATGTAGTTGTTTCTGTTCCTGGGGAATGCCTCTGAGATGCAGGCTCCTGTCTCCAGCTGTATTTGGTTAGATAGACTGAGAATTTGCTCAGGATAGGCACTATAAGGGGACCAAGATCTTAGTATTTTTTAAGCTAGATAATAGTCCCCTAAAGAACAGATAGAATAGAATGCAAATATAATGTAAATGATGAAAATTGCTTCCTGTGCTCTGATGACACCGTTACACCTGGAATGCAGAGTCCGCCAGCTGACTAACTGGGAGACATCTCTGCCGAGGAAAACGCGCACGCGCTTCCGTTACCTCCTTGGCGTTAACTCCCTTAGGCAGGTCGTGCTGAGGTTGCGCGCGCCGGAATGAAACTGTGGGGATGGGAAGTCCCATTCCTTCCGACAGCCCAAAGCCAAGTAGTGGTATTCCACGCGTAACGGGCCAAGTAAAAATTGTGTGTTCAGACCAAATTTCTTCCTCTGGACCTCCAATATTTCATTTTGAAAATGAGACAAGAACTAAATCTTTGAAAAATACGTACCTTTCTTCGGTGGCTCAGGCTTTTTGTCATTTTTTTCTCTCCATGGGATACTTATAGATGGGAAAAACGACTTCTTTTCTCTGACCTCCTCCTCTTCGTTTTTGTACTCGTTGGGTGGCGTGGGGTGCCCTGCGTTGGCTCTGTCTTCTTTTCTCCAGCCGCCGTCCGACTCGGCTTTAACCAACCTTTGCCCAAGCGCGTCAGCCAGGTTCGACCGGGTCAGTTTAGAGAGAGGAGACGAAGGTGGTGTCTGGCTGGTGGGCTTTGGAGCTAAAGCGGGTTTCTGTGGGACCGCTGACTTGCACGCTGGTCTCTCATGAGGGGGTAAAGCACTCTGCCCGGTGGCGGGGAGGACCGCTGGTTGTGAAATCTCCACCACAGCAACTGAAGTGTCTTTTGGGTCTTTTAAATTACCAGGGACGTTCACTCTTCCCGTGCCCGGGGACGTACTCTCGTGTGGAGCAGAACCAGGAGATTCTTTCTCACCTTCTGTCGTAACTAGTGGGTCAGGCACGCCATCAAAACTATCCCCTGCGCTGTATCTTTTCTTTTTCCTTTGCTCTGCCTGTTGGTCGTAATGGAAACGTAGAGAGTAGTTTGTCCTTCGTAATTTTATCCCAAAAGGAGAAATGTTTTCTTCTCCGTTTGGCGTTGGTTTCTCTGCTTTTTTTGTGCTGTTACTCTGCTGACTTTCCGGAGCGTCGGGAAGTTCTGCCTGAGGTAATTCTTTACCCGGAGAATGAGGAAAAGTTGGAACAAGGAAAGATGGAAGATCTTTCGCAAATTTACAGCCTTCTGTGTTGTCGGTCGTTTCACTGTGGGTTTCCATTTTCTCCTTAGCCTTTTCAGCTACGTTCTCCTTAGCAGCGGAAGCCACATCCTCTTTCGAGTCAGTGCGTGGGCCAGCGGTTCTCCCCACGGCCGCTGTTTCGCTGCCTTTCGCCGCACTCACGTTCTCAACCTCTGAAGTGGGTTTTGAAGCTTCTGAAAATTTCTGCCACGCTGGTGTTATCGAGAACTTTGCATTGGCAGATAGGGTTTTCCTCAGGTTGCCATGGGGAGCACCACGTCCTCGAGGTGTCCAGTCGTCGCTGTGTCTGCAGATGCTTCCTCGGTCTCTCTCGTTGTATTTGCTGTTTTCCGCATTCTTGAGGATCCTGGAGCGGATGGAGGCCCACTCAGCCAGCACGGCCTGGTTGTTCAACGACTCCTGCGCGTATTTCATTTTGCTGCTGCTGGGTTTGGGGTCCTGGGGTTTTTTCTGCGCCTTCTCTGGCGAAGGGATATCCACATTTTTTCTCTCTTCCGTTAAGCCAAGTAAGGATTTACAGGCCGTGTCCTTTATCTGGTTCAGGTTAACTGCTGTGCCGCACAGCTGTGCTCCAGTCACCAGGATAGCCGTGTGGGGCACGCACACGGCTGACGGCAGTGCGGGAGAGCCCTTGCTGGCAGCGTGCACCCTGGAGTCTTTGACCGAGGGGGAGGAGAGTCCTGCACCTCTGACGGGCATGACTGGACTCAGATTTACTTTCTGAAATATGATCTGTTTGTCCCCAGAAGACACCTGGAATGTGAAGGGTCTGGATGCACTCTGTCTCTCATCTACCTCCTGCCACCTAAGTTCTTCCCCGATTCGCTTTTGCTCCTGAGCCTCAGCCTCTCTCTTCAGTTTCTGGGCTAGGACGACTTCTTCTGGTTTATTCCCTTTTTCTGGCTGTTTGAGTTTTTGGGATCTTGGTCCTTCTTGGAGCTTCTCCTCTACTGGATGCCTATCAGCCCCTCCAGAGCACAACTGATCCTTGTCCTGTTGCTGTTCCAAGGATTTTTCTTGTTGATTTTGCTGAAGATTTTGTCCTTCTGTGCCTACCTTCTGCTCGTCCAGCTTGTTCCCTTCTTGTTCATTTTGTTCCTTTTCCTGCCTCAGTTCATCCTGTAGCAGACCCTCTGCACTTTCCATATGCATTTGTTTTGTGAGCCTGTGTTTTCTCTGCTCTTCCCGTTTCTTTTTCTTCTCCGTTACTTGCTGGGGTTGTTCCTTCTCTGTCTTTTCTCCTTTCTCCTTCACACGCTGCCTTTGTTCCTCCTGTTTCTTCTGTTGTTTGAGGCTCTCAGCTTCTTTCTGCTTCAGTTTTATTTCAGTTTCTTGAAGCTCTTTCTCTCCTAGCTCTCGTTTCGGCTTTTCTTCCTTATTTTGTTCCTTGAGTTCTTTTTCTTCCTCCAGCCTATTTATTTCTTTTTCTTCTTGACACTGTATTTCAATCTCATGTTGCCTGAATTCTTCCAGCTCCAGCCTCTTCTGCACCCCCAGCTCTTGACTCTGTTTCTCCCCCAGCTCCTTGCACCTCTGCTCTTCCCATTCCTGATGTTTCTGCTCCTCCAACTCCTGATGTCTCTGTTCCTCCTTTTCCTGGCGCTTCTGCTCCTCCAGCTCTCGTCTCTGTTGCTCCTCCCGTTCCTGGAGCTTTTGCTCCTCCAGCTCTCGTCTCTGTTGCTCCTCCCGTTCCTGGAGCTTCTGCTCCTCTTGTTCCTGGCGCTTCTGCTCCTCCAGCTCTTGTCTCTGTTGCTCCTCCAACTCCTTCTGCCTTTGCTGCTCTAGTTCTTGGCGCCTCTGCTTCTCCAGCTCTTTCCTCTGTTGCTCCTCCAGCTCTCGTCTCTGTTGCTCCTCCCGTTCCTGGAGCTTCTGCTCCTCTTGTTCCTGGCGCTTCTGCTCCTCCAGCTCTCGTCTCTGTTGCTCCTCCCGTTCCTGGAGCTTCTGCTCCTCTTGTTCCTGGCGCTTCTGCTCCTCCAGCTCTCGTCTCTGTTGCTCCTCCCACTCCTTCTGCCTCTGCTGCTCCAGTTCCTGGCGCCTCTGCTCCTCTAGACCTTGCCTCTTTTCAGCCTCCTGCAGTCCTCTCTCTTCTTTCTGGCAGGTTTGCTCTTCTATTTCCAAAGATCTCTCTCCTTCAAGAAGATACTGCCTCCTCTCTTCCTCACAGTGCCTTCTCTCCTGCTCTTTCTGCATCTGCTCAAGTTCTTGGCACCTTTTTTCTTCCATTTCCCTTTGTTCTTCCATTTCTACAATCTGCCTTATCCTCTCGGCCTCAAAAATCCCCCAGTGATCTTCAATTCTTTTCTCCTCCGCCGGATGAAGCTGCTTCTGCTCATCTCTGCTGTGGATCAGCTTGTCTGCTATGATGTGTCCATTATAACCTGGGTATCTGTCTCCATACAGCTCAGTTTCTAGGTCCTCTGGCTCAAATTCTGTTATTGTTAAACTTTGTGATCCCTAAAATTGGGAGAGAAGTTTGGAGTTACTGACTATTGCCTGCTGGCTCGTTATTCTTTATAGTGAACAATCGGCTGCAAATGCAAAATGACTTCCTTTTTTCTTTAACAGCAATGATTTAGATGCAGAGCCAACACACCCACCCCAATTTATGGATCACATCATCATAGATCCCATGCCTCTCATTTATTCAGAGGACAGCCTTTAAAAGAAGGAAAACAGCTCAGCAGTCATAACAGGATAACGCTAAATACTGCATCACTTGCTGTCCGTGAGCGAATCCAGACTGAGACCTGCCATTCCAAATTTACAGAAGCCCAAGGAATACAGCACAGGTTTCCTATGCCTGTTCTCCTACTTTGTTCTAGAAGCCCAAAATAATTAGCACCTGCTTAAGGGCATTGTTCTCCCAGTTCTTTCATGGCAAATCTAGCTGTTACTTGCAGAGACAGCAGCTGTTGCCTGCAGAAAAGAGCTCTGCAACGCTAGCCAGGAAATAACACTGCTCAGGGAAACACACTTTGGTTGCTCTTCAAAAATCCTGAGCCAGGACATCTTCCAAGTGCGAGGTCCTGCACCTGG